CTGCTAGAATCTGTCTTTTCTGCAGAGACACTCTGTCTGGCGGTGTTTCTCATTCACCATCTTAATTCCCCTCTCAAGTTGAAGATATATTAACTAGCATGATCTCCTGAGCCTCTTTTAAATCAAATTGCCTCAAGATTCTTTATTTCAAAAGTTTTTAAACTCAGACCATTTTCTCACTTTTATTAGCTCACCATTTACTCTGTGCTGCTGCTTTGTTGTTTAAGGCTTCATATTATTTTAAGAACATTGAATTCTGTCAGGTCTGTTCTGTTATTAGTGCTGTCTTCAGGATTGCCTATCTCATTATACTTTGTGTGTGCCACACAGCCACCTATCTACTGGGGTTTGAGAAAGGCTTAGAAAATTTTTTGCATTGTATTCTTTTGGCCTTTCAATATTTTTCTAAAGAAATAATTTTGAGGCCTGTGTCCTTGGAGAGTCAAGATTTCAGTGTTAACGGCTGAGGGCTCCAGGCCTAGTTTTGAGACTTAGGATTTTCCTAACCTGCAGAGCCATGGGTATAGTTCCCACAGTGGTGGAGCTGTGGTAAACAAGTGAGTGGCTTTCACTTTGGAGAAGTCACGCCTGGTGTGGATGTCTAAGGAGCAGGCCTGCTTGCAGTCCACACTTTTTCTTGTTAGATCTTTACATCTTTCTGGTTCCTCAGAATGCTTTGTATTAATATATAGTGACTATTCAATTATTTGTTGATGTGACTGCAGAGTGCTCTGTACATAGTAAGTCATTTATTTATTGATCTGAATTACATTTAATTGTGAGGATTAACAATATTTCCTGCATCTCTTCCCAGCAGTCCTTTTCACTACAATTCAGTCAAGGGTGTAGTTGGATGGAAGATGGCTTTAAGATTCTTTTCCCCTCTTCCCTTCTGTGATTGACTATGTGAGGAAGCTATGGGAAAGAGTATTTTAGGGGAGTTGAAAGATTAATATAGCTATAATTTAATATACCTATCCATTTTAATTGAATTTTTCCTCCCAAAATCCACCCTCTGTGGACTTATAGGTTAATCTTGAATATGTATCTTAAAGGAGGGTGAATACACTTTGGGATAGCTCTGGTTTTTAGATAATTTTTATTTATATTCATCTGAAATGAATGTCTTTCTGACTTTTTCTCACTGTGGGTATATAGGAGAAATTAAAATTTCTGCTTTCCCCAAGAACCTTCTGTATACCTTGGTAAACTCATTGTTTCTATCTAGTGTTCTCTTACTCTTGAACAATTCTTATAAAATACGGTTTTGAACCTCATCACCAGCTTTTCCCAGAATGTGCTCTAACATATACTCCTTTAAGTGGTGCTCAGAGCTGAATAAAATTTTCTGTGTGTGACATGACCAGTAACAAATGAGAGTGAGATTATATACTATTCTGCTATTTATTTCGCCCAGAAATATATTAGATATCTTTGGTAGTTATATTTTACCCTTTAACATATTGAGTTTATTTTCAGTAAGCCCATATGTCTTTTTCACACCTGCTTAATTATATGTTCCTTCTCCCTATATGTACAATGGTTTGCTTTTTTAAAACACAATTTTACATTTTATATTTATCTCCTTTAAACTTCATCTTGTTAGCATTGGCTCAGTTGTTCCAGCAGTTCTGAAACTTTGTTCCATTTTTAATTATGTTTATTGAACTTTTGACATCTGTAAATGTGATAAATGTATCCTAATTTTTAAATCCAGATAATTGATTTAAAAAAATTAAACAATCTTAAACCCTGTTTTTGTCAGGGGTTCTCAAGACCACCCCCTGGTATGGTGATTTGTTTTAAAGGCTCATAAGATTTATTATATAGTCATAACTATATGATAGATTTATTACAGCAAAGGAATATAAAGCAAAATTAGGAAGGGGAACCAGGTAGAAGCTTTTAAGGGTCTTCTCCAGGTAGAGTCCTACAGTACATGCTCAATTCCTTCAGCAACGAGTTGTGACAACACATATGAAGTGTTGTATACCAGTGAAGATCATTAGAGACTCAGCACCCACGGTTTTTATTGGGGGTGGGTCATGCAGGTATCCCTAGCACCTATGAAAATTCCAGATTCCCAAAAGTGAAGCAGGTATTTAACATAACCCATTTTGTTTGCACAGTCTAGGCACAGTCTAGGCACAGTGAGCCATCCTTTTCTTTTTGGAGGATAAAAATATCAGTGTAGGAGACTGCTTTTTGGTCAAGTTCCCAGAAGCCAGCTACCGGCCAAAGTTGCAAGCAGGCTGTTCTAAGCATAGGCAATCTCAGGCCTGCTATTTTAACTCTTTTCTATACATTATTTATGTTGATATTTCCTAGAATATATGCTTCATAGTATGTTTTAGGATATTGGTGGTGTACAATTTCCTATGTACATACCCAGAGGCATCATTCAATTCTCTTTAGGTTCATAGAAATGACTTTGAATGAAGGCCTATTTGATGAGATTAGATCTGTTATTTTTATAGCAGCATACTTTTCATTTGTAATACACTTTACCTTACTACTTGTGTTAATTTCTTCTAAACAATAGTTTTAGTTATATACCTTTGCTAAGAATGCTTAACATTTGCCTCTCTTTTTTCGTCATGATCACTAATTGCCAAATATTTACTAAATTATAAAGATGCTGTGAAATTCATAGAACCTAGTTTTCCTCTAATGTTTGTTATTATTTTAACCATGTTTATGATTTTGCAGCATTGAGGGGAGAATTAGCCAAAAAACCCCCACAATTTGGGAAATAAAGCCAATTAAATCTTCATAATTTAAATTTCATGGATTGTAATGTTTTATTTAAGCTGTTGCTAAAAGATACTGCTTATTTTATAACACTTAATTTGATATAACCCAAATAGATATTTTGGACTAGTCAGAGTAGAGTGTATTATTTTCTAAGCTTATACTATGTATTGAATTATAAATTTTTAAAAGGCCAAGAAACAAATCTGTAAGTCCTCTGTTTATTCACTTAGCAAGTCAAAGTATAATTTAATATGGTTATTTGATAGCATTTACTATGAGAAATTTTAGCATTTGTATTTCATAACTAGCTTTAAAATATAGAAAGATTTTAATACATATATCTTTAGCATTTAGGACATATTGGGCAGAGACATTATCAAGAATGCCTTTGAGTTGAGATGTTTAAGATGAAAGATAATGATTTTGGGGTTTTTATTTATGTGCAGTTCTGCCCAAGGACAAATGAATGAATGGATGACTTTTCAAAATGGTCATTATGGAGTTACAGTTTTATGATGTTCTCTCCATTCCTAATTTATTGTTCTCTTTAAATATTTTCACAGAAAGCGCATCTACTCTCAGGGATTAAACTATTATCCTTCTGCCAAGTATTCCAAAACAGAGCCCTCCAAATCTGGCCTTGTACCTTTTCTCCTGTCACATGTACCTAGCTGCCTTCAGCCTTCTGATTCCAGATTTCTCATAAAAATTGAATCACAAACAATTACACAGGGAGATAATTTATTATCAAATTATTTCTTAAAGTGATGATCTTTTTGTTTTATTTTCTTTGTGTCATTGGTACCAACATCTTCCTAGATTTCCAATATACAGCCCAGTTTATTTAATAAATGTTTATTAAAAAAAGACGATCAAGACTTTTTCTTTTTCCTTACTCCCTATTTCATTCAGAATTCAATTTGTACAATTCTTTCTTCACTGTCATTTAAGACACCTTCTTTCAGTTACAGATCATTTGCTTTTCTTGCATAGAAAGATCGTCTTCTTTTCTTTCAGTCTTCATGTATAGTTTTATTATATTCTATATGTGCTTTGAATCATAGGAACTTTAGGTTAACTGATGACTTGTGGATACAGCTTCCTACCCTAAGAGTCCTTTCATAACTAGTAGGGTAGTCTCTTCAATTGTTAGTCAACTCTGTGACTTAGAAGATGCTTCCTAATTGTGAGCAAAAATCTTCTTCCTTGAAATGTCCACCATTTGATCCTATGCCATATTTCTGGAGAAGCATGAAATAGGTCTTCCTTTTTGATATAGATCTCCTGGTATATCAAAAAAAACTACCATTACATCTTCCTTCTCAGATTAAATATCTTTATTTCTTCAACACTTTGCTCATTCATTCATTTAGGAAATATTTATTGAGCACAAAAAGGTAAAAGTCACTGTTTAGATTCTCCATGTACTTTGATTTACAGATCTCTCATCATCATGATTATCTTCCACTGCTATCACATGCATGACCTTTGGCACCTTTCAAATCCCTGTAATGACAAAATTCTGACCTGCTAATGTCCTCTATGTACACAGGGAGATCAGAGCTTCTTTAGTTATGTGTGAGATGGAGATACCATATCAATGAGGCCACAAATTTCAAAAAAGACACAAAAATTTAGACCTTTGGGGGTTACTTTTGGATTTAGACACGGTATTCTGTGGCCCAGTGTGCTCATACAGTGGAACTACTAGTTGCCCTATCTGGATGGTGTGCTTTCCGTAGTTCAGCCCCAGGTGCACTTAGTTGTAGTGAACTTTTTAAGGTCTATTGTATATAGACTATTCATCTGCTAGATCTTACCTATTCTGAACTTGGAAAATCAATTTATTGAACCTAGTTGCTTGGCAGTTATCCCTTACTTAGCCCTTTCTTCTAGTTTTATGTGTTCTTTTTGAATCTTGTTATAGATTTGGAAAGCTTACCTTCTCTATTGTCTTTCAAGTCAGCAATAATGTAGACAGAAGAGTACCTAGGTAGAGCTTAGCAAAAAGCTTTCTTATAAATTAATTTTGCTTTATTTTACAAACACTTTATTAATTTAATTTTTTTGAGGAAAACTCTCACTGTCACTCAGACTGGAGTGTAGTGGCATGATCATAGCTCCCTCAGCCTCGAAATCCTGGGCTCAATCGATCCTCCTGCCATAGTTTCCTGAGTAGTTGGAATTACAGGTGTGCACCACCACATCTGGCTCATTTTTTCATTTCTTTTAAGAGATGGGGACTGGCTGTGTTGTCCAGGCTAGCTTCAAACTCCTGGCCTCCCACGTCAGCTTCCCAAGTAGCTGGGATTACAGGCACGAACAACCACACATGGCTTTGCTTTATCTAATTAGCCTGCCTCAAGTATTGCTGTACATCTACCTCCAACTCTACCTAAATGTGTTAATATCTAGTTCCCATTTTTCCCTTTTATTTTCAATTACTTTATGAGATGTTTGTCAAAGAGAGTGAAGCATAGTGTTTTAGACTGCATTCCAGAGTCAAACGATTTGAGTTTTAATTTTTTATTCTGTCTCTTGTTACCTGTGTAGTACTGGGCATGTTACCTAGCCTCTTTGACCCTTGATTTCCTAATAATTGTGCCTGTGAGATAATGAATATAAATCACCTATCACATTGCCTAGAATATAAAAGAGTCCATTAAATGTTAACAGTAGCAGCTTTAGTCTTTGTTGTTGTTGGCCTACAGAAATTAAATATAGTTTCTTGGGCTTTCCATATCTAAAATACTTTTAAATGTATGTGCACACATACAAATATATACACAGCTAGTTTTTTGCCATTTATTCTTAGAGATGGACACAGTAAAAACATCTTTATTTTTTAAGTCTCTGAAGCCATCTGTCTAGAATTTTGCTAGATGAAATATCAAAGTTACCATCTCTGAAATCCATATGTTCTTATTGAAGGCTTAAAATTTGTTTTCTCTCTAGTCATTTATTATCTTTTCAGGGGTCTGCAATTTCTCAAAGATTAATAATACTACTAGATCTTTTAGTAACTACTTTGGTATATCTTTGAGCCTAGTTAAAAATGAGACATGGCATGGGAGGCTGAAAGTAAATGTGGGAATTGTTTGGGTATTTTACTTAGCCATAGTTCTCAGATGTTTGTTAGACAGAGACTAAAATTGTCTGTAGCAAGGAAGAAAAGTATTATTTCTACTCAGTGTAGAAATAGCTAATAAATAACTGCTAAATGACATAGGTACTGTATAAGTACTATAAATATATATCCATATTACATATATTATGTATAATACATTTTATTTAACCCCGTTAGCAACTTGATATCAGAAAGTTTCATGTTGTTGCCTGTATCTTTCTAGCAACAAAGTTACTACTTTGTAATTTCACCAGTGAGGAAATTGAGCATCACACATCTAAGTGGCACAATCTGCAGAATTTGAATCCAGGTTTTTCTAACACCAAAACCATGACCTTTTCACCTAATATATGCTGCCTTCCTTTTCTTCCTACTATTTGGTACTGATGTGTATATTAAACTGAAACTACTATTCTTTTCTTTCATTTATCCCTGGGAAGCTAATAAAGGTCTGCTATATAAGAGATTTCCAGAGTTAGAATTGATGAAGATCATGAGTGAAGTTGACAAATTTCCCTAAATAAGAAAAGTTTAGCATTTTAGAAGTATTATAAAATCATAAAATCTTATGATTGGAAGAGACCTTCTTGGCTGTGTGTTTGTTTACTGGCCATGTAATAATCATGTATGTGGGATTATATTATAAGGAGGTAATTGTAGTATTTCTGTGTCTGGAATACTTTGAGATTTAAAATTAATTATTGCCTTTATCTGTTTTCTTCTTTACAACACATTGTATTTTAAAAATTGCTTTTGTGTTTCTATAATCTAATGGTTGCACAAACCTGATGTATGCAAATAAGGATGAACGGAGAACAAATAGAGATTTTAGAATTCTTCCACAAGTAAGAGATACCCTTGTGCCCTAGTTTATAATAGAAGGATCCCAGTGACTTGTATTAAAATACTGAAAGGGAGTTTTGCACATAAAAAATAAGTACAAATAGGCTGATTTCATATTAAATAATTCTGCTTCATTTTTTATAAGAATTTATCTGATCATTGTTCAACATTGGATTCACATTCTACATTGGTTTTGTGATCTTAGTAGTGTTATAGTATAAAATGTAGTCATCTAATTAGAGTTTAAATGAATATTTTCAATAAGGTAAAGTTAAACAGATTCCATGTGACAGAATAGACAGATATTTTTGTGTAAATGGCAAACAGCGAATTTCAAGTAATGGCTAGTTCCTTAGACTGATATTGAGTATCACTGTAAAGTACCTAAAGAAAAAATTTTAAAACCCAGAGAAGAAAGAACGGACACTAACATATATATATATATTAGATCATTTCAATTTCCTCTTGGTAGAAGAGTAAAGTTCCATGGGGGCAGGGAATTTGTCATGTTCTCCACTGTATTTCTGTCACCTAGAGCAGGATGCCACACAAGATAGGTGTTCAGTAAGTATTCGTGGAAAGGTTCTCTTGGCTTCACATATAAGTGTTCTACTAAAAATGATGGTAATATTTTTGCTTTTGAGTAGATTATATTGATAATCATTTTGGGGTTTTGGGTGAATAGAAATATTTTATGATTTTTTTCCTCTAAATTTCTAGACACTATTAGCAAAATATTTTATACAAAAGCTAAGAACAAAATGTACATATTTGAGATAACTATACTAAGCACATGCTTGTGTTTATGCTCATGTCTTCTTATCTAGCATTAGAAAAATATAGCTGTAACTGTATAACAGCCTTTTATAAATTGCTAAATGTCAAGTAAGTGTTGGTTTGATTTACTTTCCCAGATTAGGCTCAAATCTTTGTGTTTATATATAATTGTATGTGAATATATTGGTGACAAGGGAAATTATTTTGGTTATCAAATATTAGAAAGTTTCATGTTGTTGTCTGTATCTTTCTAGCAACAAAGTTACTACTTTCTAATAAATCAGATCTTTTCTTTGACGTGAATTAATCCCTTAAGCCACTAATCCAACATTTCTCAGAAGTGTCAACTGTGGACAGTTTACATCATATTCACTGGTAGAGCTTATTTGAATTATAGATTCTCAACAACTACCTAAACCTTCAAAATCAGAATATCTGGGATGTGATTCTCTGAAACTTGAATTTTTGACCAGCTCTATAGGTGATTTCTCTGCACTCAGAAGTTTGAGAATCATTGTATGAAACTTTGCTGGAAATGTCTCTTCCCTGAAGAGAGACTGGATCCTGAAAGCTCTGCAGAAAGAGTCCTTTACCACAAGCTCTCTGTCCTGCTAAATCAAGAAAGTAGTCAGTCTTAAGACACTGATTATGTCAATTTGAATTAGAACCAAATGTATACTGTTTTCTAAAGCTGTTAGACTGGAACAAAACAGGAACATCAAAGTTGCTTACTAGACTAATCCTCATAGGAAACAAAATTACACTCAGTTCCAGTTTCTGACAACATCCGGGAAAATGCCTCAGCTGCTTTCATTGAGGATTGTCAATGCCAAACAAGGAAAGCCCGGTGGGGAGCCAGACACTGTAGAACTGAGCTGCCTAGAGAAACAAAAAAAAGTGCCACTTATTCCAGGTCTACAATAGCAGAGCTTTCTCTGGTGCTATCAAAATTTCAGCCTAAACGTGCCGTGTGTGTGTTTGTGTGTGTGTGTGTGTGTGTGTGTGTGTGTGAGTGATCATGTCCTGACTCTATGATCAAGTCCTCTCTTCAGCCATGATCCACTTTGATTTTTTTGCCATCTGCACAAGGCCACTACTGTATTTGACCTGCCTAAATGCCCTTGCTCCCCATCTCCCCATTTCATAGAGTAGTTACCATTTCATATATTGATTTACATTCATCTCACTTCTCTATCATCAACTACAAACTGATCTTGAGTTCAGGGCTTAAATTAGGCACTCTTGCTTACTAGTTCCTCAAAAGTCAGTTTAAGAAAATGTGATTTCACATATGCACATTCTATGTGAATATGTTTGTATCAGAGAGGTAAATGGTAATGCTGGAATTAATTTTCCAGAAGTAATTATGAGTGTTTATTGATGCATCCATGTTGTAATGTCTAGCCCTCATTAAATTCAAGGGCATTCTAAAATACAGTGGTTAGTAAGAGGATAAAGCATACTAATTAATTTGTACATAAATTAAATCCATGACTTCATTGGCATTGTCCCCTAGCCAAGCTAACTAGCCACAGAAGTTGGATTTTGCATCTATTTGTCTCGTTTTCTTAATCAAAAGTGTTTAAGACTATAAAATGCTCTTACTTACTATGTGCAACTCCTGCAAATACCATGTTAATTTGTGAGTACCTCCACAATCACAAATTAAAACATGAAGTAAGAAAATAGATGCTTGGCACTATTGGAAAATGATAGTTGGTTAAGCGGAGATTTATTGCATTCATATATGAGAGGAAGAATTTGACAACTTAATGAATTTGTCTTTTCTCTTACCTAAGTGCTTTCATCACTTAAATGTTCCTGAAGCTCCAAAGCAGTATCTTTCTCTGTCTTTAGTAGCAGCACAACCCATAGTCCTTCAGAATATTCTGACACTGACCCCCTTTTGAGGACACAGAGCAACAGCTGTGGAGAAGCATTTCCTTGGGGCTTGAAGATGTTACTTGTGAAAGTAGATGTTTAGAGTTAGTCTGAGGGCCAGATCTCAGTGGCAGAAGGCAGCCATGTGTTCTTTAATAAATTTAATTTGGGTTATTTGTGATAGCGAGGGCCCTCTGAAACACAGGGTCTGTGGCGGTGTCCACTCTTTCTTGGCCCTAAGGGTGGTCCTGCTTGAGTATGCAGTCACAGGAGCAGGGTATGCTGAGACATAAAAGTTATGCATATAATCTCAACCAGATTATTATTATTAAAGTATCATTTGTGTACCAGATAAAATACCAAAACTTATTACTGGGTAGGTAGCTCTCACAAATCTCTGCAGCTAGTTTATATGTTTGAGTGACAGCAGACTATTAAAGGATATGAACAAATAGCATTGCAAATTAAAATTGTGCTGTTCATAAACAAGTAACCTCCACTGTGCTTCTAAGCATCTTGGAGTTATTCTTTTCTTGGTTGTAGCCAAGTTAACATTTAGTAATCATTGTTTAACATTTAGTACTTCTGAGCAATGAACTAAGTGTATTTTTATCTTATTTCTAGAATAGGAAGTAGAAAAGGAAGTAGAAGAAGTTTTCAGTTTAGTATTGACTCTCAGTCAACAAATAGGTAATAGCTATTTCACATGATTTTCTGGTATTTGCCTCCTGTAGCATTGTTTTCAAACTCATTTCCCAAGGTCCTGAGATAAGGGAGAGGAACTGGATATCTGGGCAATTTTTTTTCTCTGCCAGTATTGTCATAGCTGTGACATATTTTATGTTTAAAACTGATGTAATAGTCAGGTAATATTGTAGTATATAACAGGGACCCTTATGTAATGTGTGAAAATAGTAAAATTATATTTATTCAACAGAATATTGCCATTTATATTGTACTTGACTCTATGTAAAACATTAATAAGATTTCCAGTAAGTGCTTTAAGATCAGTTTGTGCTTAAATGAGTGCTTAGAGACTAGTTCTCCAAAGAGATTTTATCAAGCATTTATAGAAAATTTTATCAAGCATTTATAGAAAACCTGCATAATACGCTCGGTGAGAGGTGGAGGAGCAGCGCTGCCCAAGCTGCACACAGCTACGCGCTCCTTCCCGCTCCTCCATGTCGGCCTCAGCCCGCTCACCGGCTATAGAAAATGGTGAAAGAAGCCACTTACTATGATGTTTTGGGGGTCGAACCCAATGCCACTCATGAAGAGTTGAAAAAGGCTTATAGGAAACTGGCCTTGAAGTACCACCCTGATAAGAATCCAAATGAAGGACAAAAGTTTAAACAGATTTCTCAAGCTTACGAAGTTCTCTCTGATGCAAAGAAAAGGGAACTATATGACAAAGGAGGAGAACAGGCAATTAAAGAAGGTGGAGCAGGTGGCGGTTTTGGCTCCCCCATGGACATCTTTGATATGTTCTTTTGGAGGAAGAGGAAGGATGCAAAGAGAAAGGAGAGGTAAAAATGTTGTACATCAGCTCTCAGTAACCTTAGAAGATTTATATAATGGTGCAACAAGAAAACTGGCTCTGCAAAAGAATGTGATTTGTGACAAATGTGAAGGCCGAGGTGGTAAGAAAGGAGCAGTAGAGTGCTTTCCCAATTGCCGAGGTACTGGAATGCAAATAAGGATTCATCAGATAGGACCTGGAATGGTCCAGCAAATTCAATCAGTGTGCATGGAGTGCCAGGGCCATGGGGAACGGATCAGTCCTAAAGATAGATGTAAAAACTGCAATGGAAGGAAGATAGTTCAAGAAAAGAAGATTCTAGAAGTTCATATTGGCAAAGGCATGAAAGATGGCCAGAAGATAACATTCCATGGTGAAGGAGACCAAGAACCAGGAGTAGAGCCAGGAGATATTATCATTGTGTTAGATCAGAAGGACCATGCTGTTTTTACTAGATGAGGAGAAGACCTTTTCATGTGTATGCTTCCAAAAGCCAATATCTACTCTTGACAACTGAACCATAGTCATCACCTCTCATCCAGGTCAAATTGTCAAGCATGGAGATATCAAGTGTGTGCTAAATGAAGGCATGCCAATTTATCGTAGACCATATGAAAAGGGTCACCTAATCATTGAATTTAAGGTAAATTTTCCTGAAAATGGCTTTCTTTCTCCTGATAAACTGTCTTTGCTGGAAAAACTCCTACCCAAGAGGAAAGAAGTAGAAGAGACTGATGAATGGATCAAGTAGAACTTGGTTCTACTTTGGACTTGGTTCCAAAGCAAGAGAGAAGGCACCATTACAATGGAAAAGCATATGAGGATGATGAACATCATCCCAGAGGTGGTGTTCACTGTCAAACCTCTTAATGAGACCAGTGAATGAGACTCACTGCTGACATTTTATATGCAGTAGTGAATGAATGAAGGACTATAATCATAATACGCTCACTACTTGCTATTGTTTTTCTTATAATATTCAACTATAGTAGTGTTTTAAAAGTTAAATGAATAAACACAAATATAAAAGCTGACTTTGCCCTGTATGTATGATGACTTCAGTGTGCAAGGTGAAGTTTAATACCTGTAAAAATTACTTTAAGAAAAAGTTCTCCTAGCATTTGTTAGGCTAAAGCTTGTAATTGATTTCAGCTATGTACGTGGACAAGCTTAGACTGAAATGCTAGGTGTATGTATTGGCTTCATTATGACCCTTCACTGTTAAACTACGAAATTAAAACTCTGTTTTTAACTGGCAATCAGAAAAAGAAAACTTAAATTTGTAGAGATGTGTTGGTCTGTATAGTTAATTTGTATTAGGTGTGATTCATTGTAATGCCTCTGAATTTATTTTGCCTCAGCTGTTACTTGAAGATGGCATACTACATAATTTAGCCTGTGGTATCAGTGATAGAAAAGATGCTTTTCAAAAGAAGGGGTTTATCATAATATGCTGCTTCTTGAGGGCTTGCACTTCTAGAATTGCATTCCCTCTGTGCCATCCATGTATGATATATCCATATATGTGTAACTTGACCAGTTTTGGTTATTTTTCCCTCTTCTCTTTGGACCACGATAACCCCCCCTGAGTATTAACTTCCAGAAGTGGATAATTTAGAAGTGAAGAGACCGTTACATGGAGAGGTAATTTGCATGCATAATATAGGAAGGTCTTCTGTAGGTATGTTACAGGCTTACTTTAAACCATTTGACTTATGCACTAAAGTAACTGTAATTCAATGTTGGTAGTATAGCAAACGATGAATAGCTTTAATTGTATATTTAAAAGTCTCATTGATGTGTTCACATGCTTAAATCTGGGTATCAGAATATAAGCAGTTCTTGAAATGTATGAATGTCTTTTTAATATACTGGTTACAAACAAACAAAAAAAGAAAACCTGCATAATATATTTTATAAATAGGCTTTATATGTAGATAGGATTCTCATAGCTGAGTGGTAATAATGTCATTAACTAGTAATAAGTTTTATAACTACTTTAATATGTTTCTGTGATTAAGAAAGTAACAGCAAGCTATTACTATTATTTCCACATAAAGTGTTTATGAGACAGCATAATATTTTGTCAAGCAGGATAATATTTATCTAGTATATGCATATTACCTTGTATTTTCCCCTGTATAGTTTTAATGTACCTTTTTGAACTTTAGTCCCCTCTATGATTGATTTGTACCCCATGTTGTTTTAAAAAAAATTCAAGGGAACTGTCTCAACATTTTTTTCCCTATATTTTGGTTTTTTGATCCTTTTCAGCATGTATTTCTATTAAATACATAACCATATGCCAACCTCAAGTGCATTCATACATGGGGAAAATGTAACTTTTAGAATGTGCTGAATATAAGGTCTTTGTTATTATTTCTATCCTAAGTGGGTCTTAAGTTAGGAACCAATGCAACTATTTGCTACCTTTGAAATTTCTTTTTGCTGCTTATGAAATGTCTTCAACTTTTATCTGTTCTTAGTTATATTTTGAATGATTTCTATCTTCCATCATTAATACAGTGCTTAGGAGAGTAGAATGGAAATGATATTACCATGAATGTTTTTTAAATTTTCAAAAGATATTCAGAATCTTCCCTCTGCATTTCAACAGGGGGCTTGGCTTTAATTGCCTATTTAACTATTAATATAAAGTGTATTTCAGGTGTTTGCCACAATATTTTTAATATACTTTGCTGTTTGATATAAAATCATACTCCAGGAACACCTGGATCCAAGAGTAACTGCTCTCACCCATTATGTCTCAGGCTTTAATTCAAATACCAGACACCTGGGGATCTTATTAAAATGCAAGTTCTGATTCAGCAGGGTTGGGATGGGCCTATTACTCTGCATTTCTAACAGGCTCCCTTGTGATGCCACTGCTTTTGGTTTAGGGACCATACCTTGAGTAGAAAGTATGGGTTACGTCTATATGTCGAATGCTTCTTAAAACACATTTACCAAGTGTTACAGATCTAACTTGTTCTTAGCCAGGGGTTCTCAAACTTTAGTGTGCACCAGAATCACTTGAGAGAATGTTTACTAAAAATGCACGCGCCGGGGCTCCTCTCCTCAGGGTCTGTTTTCCTTAGACTTTGGAACTCAGGAATCTGCACTTTAAAAGTGGTAGACTAACACCACACTTTGAGAAATATTAATAGTACTTTGAAGTTTGGAATTGCCATGGAAATTCATGTAACCCTTTGGAATGACAGCTTGTTAAAGCCAAGGATACAGTGAAAAGCCGAAAGGTGATTGCTTTGAATGCCAATGTATAATAGTGTTTGGTTAATGGGGAAGCAGTGCCTTAGGCAGAGGGGGCATAATTTCTTGTAATGTATCAGTGGTGAAGAACATAGCTCATTCACTCCCTAATTAACCCCTAAGGGGTCTTAATTGGATAATTTGGAAGTAACAAATGAGTAGGTATATTAAATGTTGTCGAATGGATAGTCAGTATTGATTCTTCTCTTGGGTATTCTGACCAGGATATTTGCCCTCTCTCTGGGAAACATCTTCATCTCTATCTATTATTATTTACTATTATATTTACCTGTTGTCACAAGACTAGCCTGTTCCACATATAAAACACAGAGTTGGTTCTCATGTTTTAAAAAAAATTAGGAATTTAGGTAACTAATGAGATGTTTGTCTTTGTAGTTTAAAACAGAAGTTAAATTCTAGAAGTTTGTCATTCAAAATGAATTTTTAAAAATTACGTCTTTTAATAACTTTAAAATTGGTTCTCATCTACTCATGTCTCTATTTAAAGGATGTGGGTGGTATTTATATAATACCTAATTGATTCTATGTAAATTATTTAAAACAAAAGGGTTATGCAGAGGTTGCAGTTAATCTTACCAGAAACAGTGAGTGCATTTAGAATACTTGGTTCAGCAAATTGTATAATGTCAGCCAAAGTGATTTAAAAGCTTTATTTAGGATTAATCCATCATCTGCTTAAATTTATTATCTCATTTATTCACTAATTTGCATAGAATTTTGCAATTCAAAAATTTTAAGCAAACAGTAGTGTACCTAAAAATGGATTACAGGATGAATTGAATTAAAGCAGACTGCAATCAAGGCCAGCCTTGGATAGAAGTATGGGATTAGTGAGCTGTGAATACATCACCCCTTTTCTGCTTCTCTGCCCTCAAGAGCAAGTTACTTTGTTCTATCTCTGGTTAGTTTTGTTCCATCACTGCAGTACTCCTGTGAGGTCTCTCTATTTCCTGAGAATTTCAAAGTCTATGTCAGAGAGAGTTTTGGAGAGCATCGTGACCAAATGTAGTAAGATGCTATGTGAGAAGGATATCTAGCACACAAAACGCTTTATGATCACAGAGAGATTAGTTCTGTCTGAAGAGAAAGGGAGAAGATGAAAAACATGTCATGGGGCAATTAACATATAATATAATCCTCTATTGGGTGAAGATACTGGACCAAATGACCTTTTTGAGGTGCCTTTCTGTTGTGAATTTTCTAGTTTATTAATAACCTAAGAACTATGCTTCACAATCCACAATATTCACACCTCTTAACACAAAGGTAGTTAGAATTGAGGAGGAAAAAGAATCTCTATTAATTTTTAAAGTAGACCTAAACAATTTGCATTGCATGTTGAGAACAAGTTTCATTGAAATTTGAGTAAGGATTTTGCTTTGATGATCCAGAATATTAGATCAGTTGTTAATGAATTGAAAAGGCATCTTACTTTTCTAGATATTTCTTTAAATATCTCTAGCTGCTTTTACTTAAGAGATCATAAGAATGGAAAAGAAATGTAAAAATCATTTAAATCCTGTTACATTTTTAATAGTAATGGATTTCTAATTAAAAAGAAAATCAGAGAGAGCGGGACGTCCGGCTTCTGACTGGGAATCTTCCTGTCTTCAGCAACCAAAGAGAGAATTAAATATGGGTGATGTTGAGAAAGGCAAGAAGATTTTTGTTCATAAGTGTGCCCAGTGCTACACTGTGGAAAAGGGAGGCAAGCACAAGACTGGGCCAAATCTCCATGGTCTCTTTGGGAGAAAGACAGGTCAGGCTGCTGGATTCTCTTACACAGACGCCAATAAGAACAAAGGCATCACCTGGGGAGAGGACACACTGATGGAGTATTTGGAGAATCCCAAGAAGTACATCCCTGGAACAAAAATGATCTTCGCCGGCATTAAGAAGAAGGGAGAAAGGGCAGACTTGATAGCTTATCTCAAAAAAGCCACTAATGAGTAATAATTGGCCACTGCCTTATTTATTACAAACCAGAAATATCTCATAACTTTTTTTATGTGTACCATAATTTAATTGGTCTCATACACCAGAATTCAGATCATGAAAGAGTGACAAGAATATTTTTGTTGGACAGTCCTGATTTAACTAAGACTGGCTTGTGGTTAATTCGGTTTTTTGAATTCTGATAGTAATTCCAATACAGTAAATGCTATCACTGTTTTCCCCCCTTCTGAAGATGTGATTGGATTAATTAGTAGTGTTCAACTTTTCACAAGAATGGTAAATTGCCATTTCAAAACCTGTTGAAGATTGGTTTTATATTTAGATTTATATAACTGGTTATGTGAATATATTTAAATACTAGGGAAATCGCTTCACTGTCTTGGAACCAAGCAAGACTCACTGGTGTTTTAATTTGTGTTTATTAGCCTGTTAAAGGCGAGGGCTGGAGATAAGGTAGCTGTGTTTACTTTATATATTTTTGGTCTTCGCTATGCCAATCCAATTTCCCTATGTCTACTAAAATGCTGCCTTTTATTTATTGAAAAGCATTTTAGTGTGGTTTATGTGTAATATCAAATAAAGAATATTTAACACTTAAAAAAAAAAAAAAGAAAGAAAGAAAGAAAATCAGGGCAACTTTTGTACCAAAGTACAAAGTCTGTATTATAGACCACTGTCAGCTTGTTTTCATCTTCACAATTAACAACTAATATTTTCGGAGTTTGTACAGGTATAGTTGGAGGTACACTTTTTGAAATAAAATTACCTCAGAAAAATGTAACTTCATGCATATCTCTTATGAAAATGAAAATAATTGGAATTATATTTTATTGTTATAAATAAATTAGAGAAGAATTTTATATCATCCTAAATTAACTCATTTATAATTTTGATGCTCCTTGATGCCCAGAACTGTGCTAGTCAATGCAGTAGCCACTGGCCACATGTAGCTATTTAAGTTAATTAAAATTAAGTAAAACTTAATTTTCTATCACAAGAAAACTTAATAATCTATCACAAGATAGAAACTGTGTTGGCAGGGTGGCCACAAAACAAGAATGTGATTAGTTTCTTTATACAATGGAGCTATTTCAGAAGTCCTAGATTTTCTACTTCCAGACTTGATTTCCATGGGAAGAAAATAAACTTCTACCTTCTTTAAATGATAAAATGATTTTATCATTTTAAAATGATAAAAAACATTTCAGTTGTTTTAAATGATAAAAAACATTTCAGTTGCACAATAGTCACATGTGGCTAGTGGCTACTGGATTAGACAGCAAAAATATAGAACATTTCCATCATCACAGAAAATTCTATTGAATAGCACTAGCCTAGACCTTAGAGTATATATACAACGTATGGAATTGTTAGTGTATGTATACTGTATTATTAAATAATTAGGATTAAGTTAAGTTATATAAAGCTAAATACTTTAAATAATATTGTTTTAAAAAAGGTAGAGGTTTATTTTCTTCCCATGGAAATCAAGTCTGGAAGTAGAAAATATGGGACTTCTGAAATAGCTCCATTGTATAAAGAAACTAGTCACATTCTTGTTTTGTGGCCACCCTGCCAACACAGTTTCTATCTTGTGGTTCAGGA